GCCTTTGAATCCAAAACAGAAAACCACTACTGAAAGTGCGCGAGAGGTGTTCATGTGAGGGGTGTCAGTGGTTGTTTCAGCCGTAAAGACCTTGATATTTTTGGGGGGGGGGGGAGGGGGGTCGGTAAACATTTTCCGGGGGGGGGGGGCGGACACTGGTAAATATATATATTTTCTATATAAATTCCATTGCGTTCGGGGGGGGGGGGGGTAGACTTTCTTTGGGGGGGGGGGGGGGGCAGAGCCGAAGAGATGCATGGAAGAAACTCTGCCTTGCACTGCTGAAAGTGCGTCAAGTTGTTGGCCTGTACATGTTCCAAAAAACTCAACAAGTTTGGATCTGAAGGCCTTCAGGTGGGTGTATAGATCAGAAACTAGATTTCCTTCTCTTGTAGTTTTAGGTTCAGAAAATTTAAATGACTAGTTATGTCTGCAGCAGAGGCCGATTTCTATACCCACTCTTCATCAGACATTAATGGCTGTGGTTTGCCTTAACTTTCCAAAAAGTCACCTACTTCCTTTCTGCTCAGAACTTTCTCGTAAATTAGTCATCTCACTGATGTGAAATGTGGTAAATCTTGTTTGTATCTTTCAACATGTCATTGATGTATCTATGGTTAGTAATCCTCTCCGGTAACAGTGCCATACATTCTATGTAGGGAATCCAGCTCTTGTGTTATGTTCATGTCTTCATCAACACCTCTAATGAACACAAAAAGTTGTTAGGTGGATCAGCTGTCCAGCGACTCATCGATTGCAATTGAAAAAAGTCGAAACTTGCTTGCATTTTTCGCTATTTGAGTCACGATGTTTTCACTAAAGTCTGCAACACTGTGGGAAATAGTACTTGCGCCCAAAGCTACATTTTCAAATTGTTTTGAATTTTCAGGGCAAAGTTCCTCAGCCACCTCTAACAAACATTTTTTCCGTGGACAAAAAGATCGCCGCGGGCCGAATAAGAGGAACTTGCTGGCCGCATCCGGCCCCGTAGTTTGGAGACCCCTGGCCGGATAGTCAACTGTCTTTAGATGCGACGAATCAATCACATGTAATAGTTACAAATGCCCAGTCAACTATATGTGATAGCCACACAATTGAACCACATGTAATAACCCCAAAAGTGAACAACATGTAATAGCTTGCCCATTCAAACACATGTTTCATTAAGGAAGTTTAGAAACCACATGTTATAGGCAGAAAATAAACTACCTGTATTTTTTTTTATAACGAACTAACTGAACAAGCAAGACATATGACCACATGCTATAACCAGACCACTGACCACATATTATAACCAAACCACTGACTACATGCTATAACCAGACCACTGACCACATATTATAACCAAACCACTGACCACATACTATAACCAGACCACTGACCACATACTATAACCAAACCACTGACCATTTGTAACACAAAATCAACCAATTTAATCGACAAAGTCTACTGATGACGAAGAATGGCTATCACTGACCATTTCTTTTGTTTTATCTAGCCGAAATCCACACTGCTCTAGACATGTTTTACAGTTGATCAACAAATCGATTTAACTCAAGGCTAAACCAGTGCAGAAATTTCAAGATTTAACGTCGCGATAAAATTGACAACAACTACTTTAGCTCTGAAAATAACACAATCTTTGAACGTATCTATGTGCAGAGGATTTGCCTGTAAAACATTTCTACGGATTATAAAAATATTTTGTTTTAAATCTCCATAACGAGAATTAAAAATATCATTTCATAACAAATAAAATTTAATTCCCTAACTTTATTTTAGAAAAATAAATACCTTTTCTGTTATTTTTTTATGTATTGTTGAATTTGCCAACTGCTATGGTGTTTATTTTTGTTTTAATGGGATATACTAAGTTTAATTCTATTTTCTACAATTTAAGATGTAAAGCCTTTTAAATACTTTTACCATGTTTGACACATGAAAGTAAGTATTTAACAGCAGAAAAAAAGGTTTTGAAAACAATTTTGGTTGTCATGGAAACCCGAAAAAATCTCCGCCATTTTGTATTTTTCGGTAGTTTAAAAATGCAAAGGCTTTTTATTTATTTATGCACTAATTGCAATCAAATTTAAACAACTTATTTTCAGCATATATTAAAACTTTTGTCACGACATATTTTTGAAATAGCTACTGGTTACTATTTTACAAGTTCTAAAATATCGTACCCTTTTTAGTATTCAAATGTTTAAAAATATGCATATTATTTACCATAAACTTTTTTTTCTATGAAAGCCGTTGCAATTACCTCGTGGCAAAAGTTTTATTTTTGCATTAAGAACAATTATTGAAAATATGGTGAGCATTGTTTGATAAATAAAGAAAAATAGTAGGCTTTTTAGTGTTAAATAACTGCGAACTGAGAAAAATAGCAAAAAGTCGCGAAAAGTAGGTCACGAAAATATATCTGTGTACATTGTAAAGCAGACTGTAAACGTTGGTTCACTGGTGGAACTAGAAAAAAGGGCCACCCCGCAAAAAAAATTTCTGTGCCCCCCTCTTATATTTATATATATATATATATATATATATATATATATATATATATATATATATATATATATATATATATATATATATATATATATATATATATATATATATATATATACAAACACAGAACACAAACATTAGAAACTCATTTCTGGCCTGATCGGTTTTTGAAAAAAATGTCTTTTTTTTTCAATTTAAACAAATTAACAACATGTCATGTGTGTGATTGCATTAGTCTGTTTTGATTAATTTAATTTTATTTAGAACTAGTTTATTCAATATGTTTGCTGTAATACAGCTGACCCTCTAGTTTTTAGCCGGTCAAAGAAAAAAAAAACGTGAAAGCTTTGTATGTGTAATGGTTTCTCGTGTTATGTTTATTTTATGTTTTTTTTTTGCATTTATATTTTTTTGTTTTAAATAAATTTCCTTTTTATGTTATGTCAGTCTTTAGGTTTTATTTTTTTAAAAATAATAATTAAGAGAAGTAATTGCTTTTAATTTGTTTAGTACAAGTATATTAAAAGGAGCTTATGAGTACCCCTGTTTAATTAAGGGAAATAAGTCATGGAAGTGTTATGAACGTTTGCCTATCTTTCACAATACAGCTCAGGCATATACTTTTTTTTTTACGCAACTGCATGTGTTAGCTACTGTATAACATCACAACTGTAGTAGATCTGTTTGTTTTTTACAAAAGCTTTTACCGTCAAGTCAAAAATGCAAGAAATGATTTTTTTAACTATAAAAAATTATCATGGTCGGCTGTAGGCCCCTAAATGGCGTGCCCCCCCCCCCCCCCGCATTGTGTGGTCTGGCGGCACTGTAGTTCCGCCCCTACGTTGTTTGTTTCCGATATGATGGAAATTAAGATTATCAAATACATGAAAAATCCAGCTTTCCAATGGTGCCAGATAAATATAATGATAGATATAAAAATGTTCTTAGAGAGCTTGTAAGATTGGGAAAAAATGATTATTTATTAATTAATAGAGTCAAAAAATGGTATTTTAAACGCATAATTTTTTTTCTCTCATTAAAGTTATTATTTTCTTAATAAAAAATATAGACTAAGTATCTAAAGTGCAAACAATCCTTTTTGACGAAAAACCAGGAATTCCATTCGGTTTTTACTTAGCATATCCCCCTAAATAAATGACAACCAGTGCTATCAATAGCTCATTGTTATAAAAGCAAAATCGCTGTGTAGGTTCAAATCTTCTTCTTTGTTCGTTCTTAATTTTTAATTCAATTTGTTTTGCGCCAAATATGCCGGTGTCTCCTACTTCAGCCTGCTTTTCTTTTTTTGGATTTTCTTCCATAGCCTTTGTCCAACCAAGAACAAACTACAAGGCAGCAATTTTTTAAAATTCTATTGTCTCTCCTAGAAGAGTGGCTGTCCCCAGCTAACGAGCCTTATCTGCCCGAGGGTTCGAACTCGAGATGTTTCGGTTTAGCAACCATGAGCTTTACCGACTCGGCCCACTAGGCTTAAATGACATTACGATTGAAAAAAACGAAATTTAAGAGTTATGGCTTATTATTTTAAAAATTTAATTTACGTAGGTAATATTATTTATAGAAACTAACGCAAGACACATATCATCAACTTATTTTTTCTCCCTTTTTTCTAAGTCTTAAAAAAATAATTTTATCTCTTTGAAATATTAATCAAAATTGCTATATTTTAGACATTAAATCTTTATATTAGTAATATGAATTTGATAAAATATTGATTAATTGTTAAAACACATAGCATTATGTCTTTTGAATATTTGTTTCCCAAAGAAGCGTTCATTATATAGCCTAATTCTTAAATACAGACCCCAAAAAATCTTAACGTGCTGGTGTAATTTTTTTAACCTGAGTTGGGAAAGAAAACAAAATTAAATAGGGTATTTACAGTAAACAGTGTTTACAAATACACAAGGTTTGGTCAATATAACGTTAGACAATTATAAGAGGATCAACAGAAAAAGTGTTTGCAAATATACTAGATTCGGTGAATATATGTTACACAATTATAAGAGAAATAACAGTATACAGTGTTTACAAATAAACAAGGTTTAGTCTCTATATGTTCGACATTAATAAGAAGATTAGCAGTAAAAGTGTATGCTAATACATTAGATTTGGTCAGTATGTGTTACACAATTATAAAGGTTATAACAGTAGGCTATACAGTATTTACAAATAAACAAGGTTTGGTCGTTATATGTTCGACATTAATTAGAATATTAGCAGTAAAAGTGTTTGAAAATGATAGGTCAATATGTGTTCGACAACTATAAGAGTATTTAAAGTAAAAAGTGTTGACAATCGCACAAGTTGTCTAAGTTGTATAACGCGCCGTTTGAGAAGCGTTTAAATCTAGTATGTTACACGACACATTAAAAAGATAAAAGTTTGGCCTAGGGCCTGTCTCAAACATAACAGCCGTATAAAAACCTTACGCAGGCCTAAACTTTATTTTCAGTTCAGTTGCAGAAAAAACGAAAGGTTAGTTAACACAATCAACTTTTACGACAAATTTATGTATTATCTAAAGTAAATTGTTGGCCCCGTTAGTTTATTGCTTTTTTTAAAAAATAATTAAAAAAAGGATAATTAATTAGAAATGTTAAAATTTTAAAATTGTATTTTATTTATTCATTTTTATATTTTTTTTTTTACAATTTTTAATTTCTCGTATATACGAAGTATAGAGAAAGTCTTGTAATCGTGCAAAAAATGAGGTTTTTGCAAATCTCGACGTTTTACACCTCACTATTACGGAAAAACATAATTTTGCAATGTTGTCCGTATGGCTGTGTGTATGTCTGTGTGTGTGTCTGTGTGTGTGTCTGTAAACACGATAACTTGATTACCGTTACAGCTAGGTTGATGAAATTTTATATATAAGTATTTTATCAAAATCGTAGATACGTATTAACTTTTGAGCGATTTCTGATAAACGGAAGTGGTACTTTTTTCTACTTTGAATTTTTCAAAAGCCTGTAACTTGAGTACTATTTCAGATAGATAAATGAAATTTCACATGTAAGTAAAAGATCTTCTATCAAATTTTGAGTAATTTCCGTTGACCGGAAGTAGTAATTTACGCTATTTTCGATTTCTCAAAAACTAATGTAAATTTATAAAGTACTAATAATATTCCGCACTATTATGCACATTTTAATTGGCGTTCACTATTGTGCAAATATTTTTTCTACGAGATGTTATTCTATTTTCAAAAGTTTAAGTATTTAAAATGGATTAAAATTCATGTCTATATCCCGAGTTACCATCTTCTGTTTTATATTAGAATATTCGAGAGAGTTTAGGGGAGATCACTCCCGGTTTATTTCTTCCTGTAGACAAATTCAAGTTTTGTGAAAACCAAAAATAGGCAAATTGTTTAAGATATATGCCACAAAATTTAGTAATTAACCTAAACATGTAGACAGATATTCGAAACAATTTATTGTTTTAGACTATGATTTCAACATCTGTTTTTGTATATGTTTCTATTTTAACACGTCGTATTTTGTGTATGACACTTTTGATCTCTATGTTCAAAATAGCCTGTCGTATTGTGTAGATACTTTTTTAGTCCCACGGCCATGAAATATATAGCCTATATATTTTATTTAATAAAAAGAGGATGAGGAATAAATAAACGCTGTATATTTTCGAACAGAAATGGTTTCTAAGATACTATTGGTGGCAGCTTTGCTTGCTTATAGGGCTGGTTTGGCTACAGGCAAGTGTATTTATTTGTTGTTTTTCTTATTTAAAAAAATATGATCGAATAGTGTAGACAAAAGTATTCATAAAACATAATTTTGATTTTTTAAAAACTGAAATTATGATGGTTTTATATTAAAAATCGTATTGGTACTAGTAGTGTCCGACAATAGACTCTTCCGAAAATAGGTGTGTTAGGTTGTCTGTGATATTGTAATCCATGGTTTAGCGTTATGGTCATAAATTAGGGATTAGAGTTATGGCAAGCAGTAGTGGGCGATGTGATCTAATGGTACAGCAATACGACTGCTTACCCAAAAGTCTTGGGTTTGGATCCCAAGCTGGTGTCCGTACAAAGCCCGTGAGTTCACACAGCTCTAATGGGTACCTAGCGTTTTTTAAAAGGGAAGAAAAAAATTTCGGCTGGGCAGGTTGTATCACAACAAACCCTTCGTTTAACGATGTGACCAAAACAGGGAATCTCTACTTCACCTGTCCCATGGACCTTTAGTTTCGAAAGTGTACTTTATTTTACTTAATAGGGTTACAGTGGACCCTAATAAGATATACTGTTAGAAACCATACACCCAGTTATTTCCATTACTGTGGTATTATCCTCGACTTCCACTAACACACACGCCGAGGTGGTTCTTTCTGTGACACTTAACCACACGTCTAACTTTTCTACCCACAGCGCAGTGTGGCGTGTTTACCTCGGTGTCACCTGCAACAGCGCCAGACTCAATTGTTTCTCCTCAGGTAGGGACCAGCACATCAGCATCCTTTGCTCGTTATTTAAGTTTATGTCGACCTATATACCATTATATATATATATATATATATATATATATATATATATATATATATATATATATATATATATATATATATATATATATATATATATATATATATATATATATATATATACATATATATATATATATATATATATATAAATATATATATATATATATATATATATATATATACATATATATATATATATATATATATATATATATATATATATATATATATATATATATACATATACATATACATATATATATACATATATATATATATATATATATATATATATATATATATATATATATATATATATATATATATATATATATATATATATATATATATATATATATATATATATATATATATATATATATATATATATATATATATATATATATATATATATATATATATATATATATATATATATATATATATATATATATATATATATATATATATATATATATATATATATATATGTTGACAGGACAAATAATCTCAGGACAAATGATGTCAGAGAAAATATACCAGACTAAATTTATGACGGACAAATGGTCTCATAGACAAAAGATACCAGGAGAAAATATCTCACACAAATAACCCACAGTAAAATATCTATATTATTTAGGATTATTTTAGTCGATTTTTACAAGCTTTTATTTAACTTACTTCCTCGTCAGTCGTCAGTCTAGACCGAAACGCAGGAGTGAAAATTCGGAAACTTCTACTTGACCGATACGATTCACATTTGGCACGTGGGTCAAGACATGAAGACAATGCAATCTGAAACTAAATTTGAGTTAATTGGATGCCTAATTAATTTTTTTATGAATTAATTAAAATTTGGACCGAATTAGTAGGCATGTCTAGCCAACCACACCACACGCGTCATCACGTTCAATAGCTGCGCCATCACGGTACGTTCAATAGCTGCGCCATCACTTTCAGTAGGCGCGCAATGGTTTTTAGTCATGTAACTCTATTGTAAATAAAACATGTAAAGTACTGAAAAAAAAATTCATAAAAAACGTTTTAATAACAAGCTTTTATGTAATAATGCACTAAAAAGTAGAAAATAAATTATAGACTACTATTTAAATTACTATACAGAAAAGCGTGGGTCTCTTCTCAAATATTAGTAAAGGTATCCAATCGGTACTAAAGTGACCCACGCTTTTCTTTATAGTAATTTAAATAGTAGTCTATAATTTATTTTCTACTTTTTAGTGCATTATTACATAAAAGCTTGTTATTAAAACGTTTTTATGAATTTTTTTATAGTTTGTACTGAATGTCATTTGGATTTTATTTATTCTTTTACACATAATTATTTTGAGATATACTATACTATATGAATGAAATAAACTTAATAAACAAGCCAGCAAAATACTGAGTAAACGTAGTTCTTAAAAACTAGCAATCTATCTAAAAGAATTACACACAAATATGAAAAAAAGACAAATGTCAAAACACGTTAAATAGTTTTGAAAAAAGGAAGTTTGGGACTACAATAATAAATTGGTGTTTTTATTGCATCATCAACGCTAGCAGTTGTCCAGAGTTGAAAAAAAAGTGCATAAGCCATCTGCGATGTAAACAAAGTGGCCATAGCTGAGTAATACCACTAATAGTGCTTAGTTTACCTGCACTCTATAAATAACCTATCTCCGCAATGACCGCTGTCGTTAAACAAGCATGCGTCATCTGATCACTTGGGTGTGACCGAATTATAACGATTGACTTTAGATGCTAGTTGTAATGTCCACGGTGGGCGGAGGTCTTCCCCTTTGGGCCTGTTCGCCAACAAAGCGAGCGGCCACCTTGCTACGTATGTGTGTTTTCATAGCCCTTTCATCAATAGATCGGAAATCGCATTTGATCTAGTTTCGTCTGCCTAATGTCCCAGGATTGTCTCATGATCGGCAAGCACACCTACACTGTCTATCGAAACTTAGTTTGAATCTACGAATATTATATTTCTAATTGTAATTTTAATACATTTAATGTAATGTGACAAACCTATGCGACAAACCTTTTCTCACAGTTATTATGTGTAAAAAAACAGACTAAAATCATCTCAAATACTATGCATATTGTTGTGCCATGAGCTCATTTGTCAATGAGATCATTTGTCATGGAATATATATATATATATATATATATATATATATATATATATATATATATATATATATATATATATTATATATATATATATATATATATATATATATATATATATATATATGGGGGTCGTCCAAAAATTACGTAAGAGGGGTCCGTAATTTTGTGACGGTGTGTGATGAGGGGGAGGGGGGGGGGAGTTCAGATGGTGTGACGTCACTTTTTTGCATTATAAAAAACAATGTTAGAAAACGAATTTTCGCCGTTATTTCGCGTTTTAGAAAACGGTTTTAATAAATTGTATTAGGAATAGGCTCTGTGTTGACAGAGTTCAGACAAGATTTAAAAAAAAATATCGATGTTTTAAGAAAAATTCAACAGCAATTTTTTTATCTTTGGGGGAGGGAGGGTTGTAGGCTGAGGTGTGACGACATTTTAGGGTGGGAATCGGGCTTTTTGTGACGACGTGTGACTGAGGGAAGAGAGGGAGGTAAAAATCGTCCAAAAAAGCGTGACGTCATTTATGGATGACCTATATATATATATATATATATATATATATATATATATATATATATATATATATATATATATATATATATATATATATATATATATATATATATATATATATATATATATATATATATATATATATATATATATATATATATGTATGTATATATATATATGAGCCTGTTTTCGCGTGTGTGTACCACGACAAGCAACATATAATCAGTTAAAAATACTCCTTGGCCGTCTTATCTAGCTAGTATTGTATTTCCCCCGCAGGATTGCTTCGACTATTGCGTGGCGCTGACCAACTGCGTGTTCTTCACCACGGTGGCAGGGGATTGTACGGTGGGTGTGGTCGATGCCGTCAGTGCCACGCTCGGCTCCAACATTGAAGGCTACGTCATGTGTCCTTTTCGTAAGTGTGAATAAAAAACAATTCCCGAGGGTAAAAACGTGGCGAACTTTAGAAATATAAACCACGACAAACACATAAATAATTGTGTTATATATATATATATATATATATATATATGTATATGTGTGTGTGTATCGTCTTATGTAAAGCTTTATATTTTCTATTTTTTAGGAGCAACTCCAGGCATTAAACAGATCACTGACCTAAAAAACTCAAGAAGCATTTTCTTGTTTGAGTAAGGAGATTAATTCAGCTATTACTTTTATAAAATTAACTTTCAAGAAAACCCGCGGATATTTAAGTGAAACACGATTCACTATAATTGAAATACATAAGAACAGTACATTTTTGAAGGCCAGACACCTCACATATTTCTACAACTCTAGTTTTTTTCTGCTAGAACGGGCTTAAATAATTTTATTAAATCTACACTTCTAGACTGCAATCACTATATTATTTTTTTAGGTTTTAATTACGTAGTTACTAAAACCAAAATCTTTTAAGGTCAGGGATTTGTATTTTCATTTGCAATTCAATAGTTACAATAATAATAATAATAATAATAATAATAAATACAAACGTTTTTAATTTTCTAATTCGCTTTCATATTATTTTAATGTCAGGCTAATTAAATTCTATTTATGATGACGCCAGTGTAGCATTTTTCCGTTTTAAAACTTTCCTTTAACTCGAATTACTTTTGATCATTTTGGGAGATTATTTTTGAAAAAGCTCACTTACTAAATTTGAACACATGCAGCGCAGTTAAAGCATCATTATTATCTAACGCTGCTAAAAGCTAAGTACCATTTCAAAACTCGGGCTCTATGAGGCAGGTAAAGTAGAGCACACCTGTTTCAGCATTTATTTTTACATTGTAAGGATTTTTGAAGATTATTTAGTTATTTTTTAGTTTCGAATTTTACTTTAATTTAAACAACCATGTTTGTTTTGTATGTTATCAGCGATTTTTATATGCCTCTCCCTCTCTCTTTTAATAAAAATATATAAATAGGCCTATATATAATATATATATATATATATATATATATATATATATATATATATATATATATATATATATATATATATATATATATATATATATATATATATATATATATATATATATTAAGAGAGAGATAGAATGAATTATGTATATTATGTATCATGAGACAAAATTAAAACAATGCTTTTATTCTTGATGACATTTTATTCAACAGATAAAGAGATATCTGAGGCTGTTTTGATATCTTCATTCGTGATGTAATGACATTGGACATACACAATATAATAATATTTTTCATATGATGACAATGCACATCAATGATGTAAATACATTAGAAATCCACACTGTGTACACATAACACTTCCCTATTGATTACATTTGACATTGACGATGTGATAACATTTAACATCTATAATGTGATGATAGTGACATCCATAATTTGATGACATAGACACCCATGATGTGGTGAAATTTGACATACATGATGTAATGACATTTGACATACATGATGTGTAGCCATTTTAAACACTATGAAATGACATTTGACATACATGATATTATGACATTTGACATACATGATGTGTAGATATTTTTCATAATATCACAATGCACATCAATGATGTAAATACGTTAGAAATCCACACTGTGTACACATAACACTTCCCACATATGATGTGAAGACATTTGACATTCATGATGCGGAGACATTTGACATTCATGATGCGGAGACATTTGACATTCATGATATGTTGACATTTGGAATCATGATGTTATGACATTTGACATTCATGATGTGATGACATTGACATCCATAATGTGTAGACATTTGACATACATGATGTGATGACATTTGACATACATGTTGTGATGACATTTGACATACATGATGTGATGACATTTGACATACATGATGTGATGACATTTGACATACATGTTGTGATGACATTTAACATACATGATGTGATGACATTTGACATCCAAACTGTGATGACTCTGTCACTTAAAAGTCGGCTCTTTATTAAATTTCTCTATCTTTATTCTGAATTTTTGTTTTTTGCATTACCGATTTCGGTGTGTTTAAAAAACAAGTTAATAAAAAGTCTAGTGACAATTTAAGCGCAATTTCCTTAATTAACATGCGTCAAGTAGACGTTACCTCTCACTAGCGGCTGCCTGAGCCGGTGTGCTTGGTTTGGAACTTCACCGCTTCGCTTCTTCTAGTGGTGAGACGCGAGCACTCCTTTTCGTTTCTCTCCACACGAGCAGAGCTAGTCCCCGCCCCCTCGCGAGATCTGCGCGAGTCTGGCCAATGGCAGCGTGTACCGCAGAACCCGTCCAGCTACGCATCAAAGGGGAAAAAAGCCTACACGATGCTCAGTATAAACAAGTAGTAAATATCATCCTAGGCCTACAAGATGCTCAGTTTAAATAATTTTAAAATTTTTTTTGTGACCGAACGAAAGGATATTTTTGAAAACTTTCTTCGGCAATATTGGTCTAAATTATGGCAGAAATCGATTGCTAAATGTTTCAAGTCGCTAAGTGGTCTGGTTGCCGAGATATGGAACAAAAACTGCATTTGTTCGAGGTTTTTGGCTTTTCCGGGAAATCCAGGAAGGAATTCCGGGAATTATTTTGGCCCACAATCATCCTCGGAACTTGCTTAACATATTTGCTTTTGGAACTAGTCCTCGATATTGCTTCGTTGAGGAGGAGATACGACTTAAAGCTGCGGACACACATCCACACATCCATACATCCATCCAGAAATGACGCATTTCTCCATTTTTTTTTTGCCAGTATGGAAATTGCGCTAAAAAATTATTGCAAAAGAAGTTTAAATTAATCTAATTTATTTTTACACGGGAAGTAGTAATATTAATGAAATATAACTAGTATACCTATTACTAGTAACATTTAGTAATCAATTTTTTATTTTTATTATTATTATTTTGTCAATTTATTTTTCCTATTTGACAATACTTCGACAAAGATTTCATCAGAAAACTTTTCTTCACCTGCGCGAGGTCTGTCGTTTGAGTATTCATCTAATGCTTTACACGAGAAAGAGAGAGGGTCATTAAAAAGATTCAAAAGCAATAAAAGTAGGATGGACTTGTCTTAAACAGCTTTCTGAATTATCGACATTTTGTTCTGTGTAGATCGTTAACAGTATTTTTAGATAGAGGGCTGCACAGTAGCTGTTCGGTTATTTTTACCGGTACAGTTAGGTTATTTCTATTGGTACAGTAAATGCGTGATTATTTCTGCCAGTACAGTAGATGTTTAGAAATATACAGTCACAGTACAGTTGGATATTGAACCAAGCCGGTACAGTTTTAAATAGAGCCATGACGATAGTTGTTTTATAGAAAGCTCTGCCGGTACAGTTGTTGTATAGAGAAATGTGCCGGTACAGCTGTTGTATAGAGAAATGTGCCGGTACAGCTGTTGTATAGAGAAATGTGCCGGTACAGCTTTTGTATAGAGAAATGTGCCGGTACAGCTGTTGTATAGAGAAATGTGCCGGTACAGCTGTTGTATAGAGAAATGTGCCGGTACAGCTTTTGTATAGAGAAATGTGCCGGTACAGCTGTTGTATAGAGAAATGTGCCGGTACAGCTGTCGTGTATAGAGTTCTCCCGGTACAGATATTGTATAGGGAGAACTGCAAGTACAGTTGTATACAAATAAGCCATTACATCTGTTATACAAAAAGCTGTACCGGTACAGCTATTATGTAGACTGTACAGGTACAGCAGTTTGATAAACAGCTAAACCAGTAACAGATGTTCACATAATGTAAGGATAACAGCTACTGTATGAAAATAACAAATCTGAGTTGGTGACTGGTAACTGTTACAAAAACAAAAATAAAAGTCTTCGAACAAAGTAAAAGGACAGGTTTTAGTGCAGATCCTGCTTGAATCAATGACAACATAAAACTACAGACCGAGACGACTTCAGAAACTTTTGTTTTAAAAAGCTGCGGTTGCGCAATCGTACTGTTAGTTTTGGAAATCGATACTTGATTGTTGTCTGTTTGTAAAAGAAAAGTTCCCTTTCCAAACCTACTGTATATGGGGCGAGTGAACTCTAGTTGCTTCTTTATGTTGTGTTGTTAATAACAAACTTCGGTGTTTTATTTTCTATTTGTTTCTGTCGGTGTAACGATGAGTGTACGTTGTTATTGAAACCCAGGGGAGGGAAACAAATAGGGGAGGGAATGTGCAGACTGCACAAAATGTCAGGGAGTATGTGCGGGCTGCACTCGTTGAGAATCTTTATGTGCAGAATACACAAGTTTACTAGGGGGTACGCACGGCATATCTTGTGATTTGTTTCGAATTGTAACACAGCTCTTATATTGCTTGTCCCTTTAAAAGCCTTTGATTACTTTACTTCATCTTATTGATTACACCCTACAAATACCGTCTACACTGTTTGTGTAATGATAGCGACGAGTACTTTGGTTATTTCGTGAGTATCTGTTCATCAAAGAATGTCTTCATTGACTCACTATCACCATAATAAAAACCAAAAAGTTAAACAACGAAATTTGGGTCGGATTGCATCATTAAAGTTAACTTGAAAATCGAATCGATCGGTTGTATACGTGTGGCTTACAAATAGCATCACAACAGAGTACTAAAGAAAATCGTTTCATGGGGTGGGGGTCTACAGTTTAGGTTTGGGGATGTGGGGCTTAGGGGTAGGGGTAAGAGAGTGTGTATTGCGAAACTACATATTCAATACTTGAATAGGAGATAAAAGTTTTACTTTAAAATATATGGCTGTTTTATCTGCTAGGTCTCTAGTCTCAGTTTAGTCGTGGATCAAATTCGAATAGGTTTAATAGATCTAAAGGTTTGAAATACGGTCAACTAACGTCAACAAAGACCATATGGCTTTGTTTTGGTACGGCTGACTGAGTAAATCGTTAACGTTATTAGTAATCACTAAGCCAACAATCATTGCATAACAATCCCTAAGCCAACAATCATTGCATAACAATCCCTAAACCAACAATCAATGCATAACAATCTTTAAGCCAACAATCATTGCATAACAATCCCTAAGCCAACAATCATTGCATAGCAATCACTAAGCAAGCAATCATTGCATAACAATCCCTAAGCCAACATTCAATGCATAACAATCCCTAAGCCAACAGAAATCATTTAACGATAAAAATAATACAACACATTTTCTTTGTTAGCTACTCGTATCAACAACTAACTATAAGCAACCCGTATAAATAACTGACTATAAGCAACATCTATCAATAACTGATTATAAGCAACCCGTATAAATAACTGACTATAAGCAACATGTATCAATAACTGACTATAAGCAACCCGTATCAATAACTGACTATAAGCAACCCGTATCAAACAACTGACTATAAGCCTCTGTGTTAGCAATTAAATAAACTTGAGTAGCACTAAATATAAACGTTGGTTAGAAGAAAAGTATTCTCATCATGTATCTATCAAAGACAAATTTTAACTTTATTAACATTGCTTGATTAGTTTTACGGCTGCGAATTATGCTAATAAAGTTGTGTTTAAAGAAGTGTAGGTGTGGTAACGGTGGGAACTAAAGACCTGTGATTTCACGTGCTATTGATGTCAAAAGTGATTGAATAAAGTGAGAATGAAGATGGTGTGATTAAAGACGTTCCTCCTCCAAAGATGATGTAAAAACATTTTGTTTATTCTTGGACGCCCTAAGTTCATAGTTGAATCATTATCATATTGTAGAATGTTGTTGGCTGGTTTTGAATAACAAGGTAGTTTGCGAAGAGTCGTTAAGGTTTATTGAATAACAATTACAGATGATTGTTTACCTTGTGAAGAAAGACCGCAGCTGTCCTTTACAATTTTCTTGCGTAGTAAGAGAAACATCTTGTTTGCAGAAGAAGAAATGACGCGTGTTATAGGACACGTGATAGAAATTATTACATAAAGTATGTTGGTCATGTTAACATATTTGTTTAACCCAGCTACATGATTTGATGGGCTTCTCACCATGATATTTGATGGGCCTCTCAACATGATATTTGATGGGCTTCTCAACATATTTGATGGGCTTCTCAACATGATATTTGATGGGCTTCTCAACATGATATTTGATGGGCCTCTCAACGTGATATTTGATGGGCTTCTCAACATATTTGATGGGCCTCTCAACATATTTGATGGGCTTCTCAGCATATTTGATGGGCTTCTCAACATTATATTTGATGGGCTTCTCAACATTATATTTGATGGGCTTCTCAGCATATTTGATGGGCTTCTCAACATTATATTTGATGGGCTTCTCAACATTATATTTGATGGGCTTCTCAACATGATATTTGATGGGCTTCTCAACATATTTGATGGGCCTCTCAACATATTTGATGGGCTTCTCAACATATTTGATGGGCTTCTCAACATGATATTTGATGGGCCTCTCAACGTGATATTTGATGGGCTTCTCAACATATTTGATGGGCTTCTCAACGTATTTGATGGGCCTCTCAACATATTTGATGGGCTTCTCAGCATATTTGATGGGCTTCTCAACATATTTGATGGGCTTCTCAACATGATATTTGATGGGCTTCTCAACATTATATTTGATGGGCTTCTCAACATATTTGATGGGCTTCTCAACATATTTGATGGGCTTCTCAACATTATATTTGATGGGCTTCTCGACATGATATTTGATGGGCCTCTCAACATATTTCATGGGCCTCTCAACATATTTGATGGGCTTCTCAACATGATATTTGATGGGCCTCTCAACAAGATATTTGATGGGCTTCTCAACATGATATTTGATGGGCCTCTCAACAAGATATTTGATGGGCTTCTCAACATGATATTTGATGGGCCTCTCAACAAGATATTTGATGGGCTTCTCAACATGATATTTGATGGGCTTCTCAACATGATATTTGATGGGCCTCTCAACAAGATATTTGATGGGCTTCTCAACAAGATATTTGATGTGTTTCTCAACAAGATCTTTAAAATTATGCTTGACGAGCCTCTAAATATGATACTTATTATGAGCCAATCGCTTTGGGTCGGCGTGGTATAACAGATTGTTACTTACTAAATCGAAGAGTCCCAACTTGGAACCCACTGGGGCCTCGGGTAGATGAGGCTCGTTAGCTGGGGACAGCCACTCTTCTAGGAGAGACAACTCCAAAATTAAACAACTGCTGCCTTGTAGTTTGTTTTTGGTTGGACAAAGGCTATGGAAGCAAATCCAAATAAAATACTTAAAAAAAACTTTTTAAAAAACCACGTTTTTCTTGTGGACTAAAAAGTAGAAAATAACTATTTACATACATTTGATGACAAAAAACGTGGGTACGTTCACCATCAAATTTCCCGACCCATCTGCCCGACCCACGTTTTTTGTCATCAAATGTATGTAAATAGTTATTTTCTACTTTTTAGTCCACAAGAAAAACGTGGTTTTTTAAAAAGTTTTTTTTAAGTATTTTATTTTCTCCTTTTTAGTCCGTTGCTACACATGAAAAACGTGTTTTTTAAAAAAGTTTTTTATATAGTTTATTTTCTACTTTATCTAATGACTTGATTAAGTATGAATTGACTAAGTGTTTATAAATACACGGACTAAAAAAATCTTGAGCGACCAGGATTCGAACCTGGGTTGTCGCGGCCACAACGCGAAGTACTAACCACTATACGATCACGGCCAGCGCGCTCACATCGATTGGGGCCGAAGTAACTGTGTCAACAAGCCTCCAGTCTTGTCGGTATCTTTAGAAATCATGTCCTCAATTTTATGGTCCTTTGGTCGTAATTAAATTAAGCTAATTACGGTCTCTAATTGCTAGTTTTTATGATTGCATCTGAAATTGTTAGGCGAAAGTAACCTGCATGCCAAATTTCAGATCTATAGAGCAATCAGAAGTGGGCTAATTTTCGATGTCAATTTTAACAACAAACACATCCACGCGAAGCTGAGTTAATAAAAACGTGTTAAAAAGAAAAGCAGGCTGAAATCGGAGTCAATGGCCTCAATGGCGCATAACCAGTTGACACGTAACGCATAATTGTGTTGAAGGCGTGGTCGAGTCGGCAAAAGTTCATGGTTGATAAATTCGAACAAAGTCTCGAGTTCAAACCCACTGGCAGATAAATCTCGATCCCCTTCAACACTAATAATTAAGAACGAAGAAGAAGAAGAAAGAAGAGGAACCCACTGGGAGATGAGGCTTGACAGCAACAAATCTCGTATTTTATTCATGCTCGGGCAAAGGCTAAGGGAGAGAATAAAAACAAAAGCAAAAGCAGGCTGGACTCGGAGTCAATGAGCCATGCAGCGCATAACATGTTGAGAAGTAATATTTAATTTTGTTGGTAAAAATTCCATTCAAATATTACAATTAAGAACGAAGAAGAGAAAAAGCCTTTCAAGACTATACTTTTTTGTTATCCCCTCAGTACTATAGTTATTTAACCCTGCACTAATATACGTGGTCAAATACTTGATAACCTTTCAAAACGATACTTGATAACCTTTCAAAACGATACTTGATAACCTTTCAAAACGATACTTGATAACCTTTCAAAACGATACTTGATAACCTTTCAAAACGATACTTGATAACCTTTCAAAACGATACTTGATAACCTTTCAAAACGATACTTGATAACCTTTCAAAACGATACTTGATAACCTTTCAAAACGATACTTCATGACCTTTCAAAACGATACTTGATAACCTTTCAAAACGATACTTGATAACCTTTCAAAACGATACTAAATTAACCACTCAAAACGATACTTGATAACCTTTCAAAACGACACTTGCTCATTCTTTCAAAACGATACTTGATAACCTTTCAAAACGATACTTAATAACATTTCAAAACGATACTTGATTAACTTTTCACTACGATATTCGAATTACACTGGGTGGTTGGAGAGGGTGATAGGTAGAGGGTGGTTGGAGAGGGTGGTTGGAGAGGGTGGTTGGAGAGGGTGGTTGGAGAGGGTGGTTGAAGAGGGTGGTAGGTAGAGGGTGGTTGAAGAGAGAGACTGGATGGCGATATATATTTGGGGAGGGGATAAGGAGGTCTGGGGGGAAGAAAAAAATATGGGAAAGGAGGGGAGGGTGAAGAGAGGCTGGACAGGGGATGGTGGTGGGTGAGGTGATGGAGGGTAGTAGAGTTGAGGTATGTGAGAAAACATTGGGGAGAATGCGAGAGGTGGGGAGGTAGGTGGGATTGTGGAAAATATAAGCGGGAGAGGGAAAGTGTGTGGAGAGGGTGGGGGAGGGTGGTATATATATGAAAAAAGGATGGCGATACTTTGGGTAGAGGGTGGGGGGAGTGAACATTGAGGTGAGTGATTGTGGTAGAATTGGGGACAGGGGTAGGGATTGCGATTCTAAGCACACTGCGGAGGGAGGTGGGATAGTGTGGAGGGGTGGTAGATTGTGAGGAGAGGGGGAGGGTGGTGAGAGGTGGGAGATTGTTTGGAGATGGTAGAGAGGGGTGGCAGATTGTGGCGAGAGGTATGGAGAGGTGGGAGATTTTGGGGAGAGGTGGGAGATTGTGGAGAGAGGTGGGGAGAGGTGGGATATTTTGGGGAGAGGTGGGAGATTGTGGGGAGAGGTGGGGGATTTTGGGAAGAGGTGGGAGATTGTGGTGAGAGGTGGGGATTGTATAAGCTGCCCTACAAGCTGTAAATCTGTATTCAAATATTAAAACACACTGCACTTTTCTGTACTTTAATATCTTTCACAAATATTTGTGTCACATTTTAAACAAAAATATTTCGCAATGTCTACAAAGCACAAAACACAAATCGCTTTAGGCTTACTTTAAAAAAATCTATGAGGCAAATCTTTTTATTTAGTTTTAATTGATGTTTTTCTTGCCTTCCTCAGTGTGCAAGCTTTTTTGAGATAGATGAAGATACCTTCGTTTTCAAACAAAATAGTTTATCTGGAAATGTTTGTTGAAAGAAAATCCCCATCTCTGACCCATCTTGCACTTCTTTCCCGTTATGCTTTACACCAGAACGTGCGCTGGTAAAGATGAAGTAGAGTTTATCTGTTTCTGTGATCGCGTATATTTTCCCACTAGAGCGTGGTTCGACAGATGCGTGCCCGAGTTTTGAACTCGAGATCTCTAGGCTAGCAAGTGGTTGCTCTATCAACCAACCATTAAAATATGCATGCAACACATCTTGATGTTGTCCAGAACTCAAGGACAAAAATGGATTCGAAGATATTTTGTATGTGTATGTGCATTCTTTTATACAAGTGTATAAAAAGGGTGGCAATTTTTTAATTCTAGAAGGCATTAATAGAATAGTCAGAATCAATGATAAATATAAGGAAATTATAAAAAGAAAGTTGTTTTAGATTTGAAACGAATGTTAGCCAGTCTTGGAGCATTAGCACAAATCATAGGGTTATGTATAACTCCTATCATTGTCTCTAGTAGTAGAGGGGGGGGGGGCTACACTTTTAGTTGAATCGATAGAAAAGTTATATCGAAATGTGGAGTCTATTGATTTGGGCACACAAAAAAGACATTCTAGCCGTCCCTGTACATTCCTTACAGTTTCATTGGTCCTTTTTTGTTTTGGTATCCCATCTGCTCATCTGATTGGTTACCTTGACACGTTGGCAATTATTCTTGTTTTGATTGGTCGACAAGGAAATAGCTGAAGTGAAATGAAAAAAGGTATAAAATATCTGGAGCAGGCTGAACAGCGAAGGTTAAAATCTTTCTGCTCAGTCTTCCTGCTCGGTAAGTATATACAGATATATATATATATATATATATATATATATATATATATATATATATATATATATATATATATATATATATATATATAAACTCTGTTCTCCACGTACACATTTTCTTGCTGATTCAATGATAATTTCATTAATGAAATAAAATGATGTTTTCAGAAATCCAGCCTACTGTGCTAATTAGAAATGGCTTACAATTTCAAAATTTTATCTGGCTTTCTGCTGCTTTTAAGCGCTGCTGGTGTGCTGAGTAAGTAGAAATTAAAACTTTAGTTTAAAAAGCTATTGATATTTTGTTTGTAAATTTTGGTCATTGTAAACTATTACTAGAATAATCTATATTGGAAGCAAAGTGTGTGGTGTGTTTTTAATGCTTAACATATAGGTTACTTATCGTGGTGAATTTCTTAAAACATACTAAAGCAAAGTTTGTGGTGTGTTTTTAATGCTTAACATATAGGTTACTTATCGTGGTGAATTAATTAAAACATACTAACTAGATAGTAAAATACTGCATAGGGCGAAATATTGGATTTGTTTAAGGGCAAAGAGAAAACACTATTTAGGGGGACAGATTAAATTCACCAAAAGGGGATGAATAAAATAAGGACGACAGACTTGGAAATGGTGCTCGTTTATAAAACCATCTAGGGATCAGTGGCGTAGGCAAGGGGGGTTAGGGGGGTTATAACCCCTACCATGGACTCACACCCCTATATATATATATATATATATATATATATATATATATATATATATATATATATATATATATATATATATATATATATATATATATATATGATTTTATACATATGGAAAAATATTTGAAACCCTCCCATGACCAATTCCTGGCTACGCCACTGCTAGGGATTATATTATGAAACCAAACAACAGCAGTAAATAATACATAACTCATGTCCGGCACTACTAGGACCAGAGTTTCTTCCAGGCATCTCTTCGGGGGGGGGGGGGGCGGCTAAGCCCCCCAGAAAAAATTCGACCGCCTCCCCTCCCCCCCCCCGAACGAAATGAAATTTATATAATTTATATAGAAAATATATACTTTTAACAGTGTCCGCCCCCTCCCCACCGAAGAAAGTCTACCGCCACCCCCCTTCCCCCCGAAAATTTCAAGTGCCCCCCCCCCCCCCCCCCGGAGAAAAAAGTTTGGAAGAAACACTGACTAGGACTAACCGATTTTAAAATATAAATTGATTTGGTTCTACAGGTGACTGTGTTGTGTACACAAAAGCGCTTCAGTCTAATGGTCCTAGCACAATCACTACTACCCAGGTACTTTCTCAACTTTTATACACACAGACACAGAGACACAAATACACTGTTTAAGCCTGCTAAGGTAATACCACCACACAAAAAAGATAGCATCCAAGATCCTAACAACTACAGGCCAATTGCTATGCTTTCTTTCCTCACCAAACCATTCGAAACGCATATAAACAATAATGCATGTCGAACTACCTTAAAAATCATAAACTTTTGTACAGTCATCAATCTGGGTTTAGAAAGTTTCTTGTCACACAGCTTTGTTTAAAATGAATGTAAACTGGCTAAAAAAAAAATTAACTAAATATTAGAAACTAAAGTGAACCACGCTTTTCTTTATCGTTATTTAAATAGTAGTGTATAATTTATTTTCTTCTTTTTAGTGCATTATTACATATAAGCTTGTTATTAAAACGTTTTTTAAGATTTTTTTTTTAAGTTTAAGTATTTAAAATGGATTAAAAATCACGTCTATATCCCTAGTTGCTATCCCCTGTAGTGTTGTATAAGAATTTTCAAGAAAGTTTAGGGGAGATTACTGCCGGTTTATTTCCTAGAGTCTACCGGGATTTTTTTCCCTTAGCCCACCGAGATGTTTTTTTTTACCTGGAGCCCACCTGAATTTTATCCGGTACACCAGGGGCAGTGGCGTAGCCAGGATCGTCTCAAGGGGGGGGGGGGGTCCAATTTTTACCCGGGGACAAAGTTTTGATTTGCACCCCCCCCCCCCCTCAAACTTTCGATCCCACCCCCACCCCCCCCCCTCAAACTTTCGATTTGCACCCGCCTCATACTTTATATATATATATATACCGAGGGGTCTATGGGGGGGTGGGGGGGTTATGACCCCCCCCTAACCCCCCTGCCTACGCCACTGACCAGGGGTTCAGTCCACTCCTGGTGACAGACAGCAACATAGACATATATATATATATATATATACAGCGATATAAACATAGATATACAGCAACATAGACATATATATATACAGCGATATAAACATAGATATACAGCAACATAAACAATATATACAGCGATATAAACATAGATATAAACACACAAGTACATTGTATTTTTTTACTTTTAATTTAGGGCTGCCAAGACTACTGTGTGTCCCTGGGGAATTGTATATTATATACCTACACACAAAGCGGATGCATTGTAACTAGCGTTGGTGTGAATGGGGCTACGGATACAAACGGATTTGGGTTTGTTGTTTGTGGTGAGTAAAACGCCTCGATCACGCAAACCTTTAGATATAAATCATGACAGGAAATAGATAATAAACTGTTTATGATTGTTAATTATAAAGTTGTCAAAAAAAAGTAATGTGCAAGTTTGTTTTTAAATTAAAAACTAACGTGAACCAATTAGCAATTTATCGTGTGACAATGAAGAATAAACGAATGAGGAATCAACAATTGAAGAAATGAAGGGGTGAAGGAATAACAGAATAAAGGAATGAAAGAAAGAAAGGAATATAGGAATGAACGAATGAACAAATGAACGAAAAAGCGATTGAACGAATGAACGATTGAACGAATTACTTAATTAATGAATACTTTGGAAATCAATTATTTTATATTTTCAAAATTTAGATCCGATAACGCCAACTACTTCAACGGTCTCGACAACCACTTCTACCACAACCACAACAACCACACCAACCACCACCACCACAACCACCCCCACAACCACCACCGACACCACAACCACCACCACAACCACCCCGACAACCACAACCACCACCGACACCACAACCACCCCCACAACCACCACCACAACCACCCCGACAACCACCACCGACACCACAACCACCCCCACAACCACCACCACAACCACCCCGACAACCACAACCACCCCCACAACCACCACCACAACCACCCCGACAATCACCACAACCACCCCGACAACCACCACAACCACCCCGTCAACCACCACCACAACCACCCCGACAACCACCACAACCACCCCGACAACCACCACCACAACCACCCCGACAACCACAACCACCACTGACACCACAACCACCACCACAACCACCACAACCACCCCGACAACCACCACCACAACCACCCCGACAACCACCACCACAACCACCCCGACAACTACTACCACAACCACCCCAACAACCACCACAACCACCCCGACAACCACCATAACCACTCCGACAACCACCACCACAACCACTCCAACAACTACCACAACCACCCCGACAACCACCACAACCACTCCAACAACCACCACAACCACCCCAACAACCACCACAACCACCCCGACAACCACCACAACCACTCCAACAACTACCACAACCACCCCAACAACCACCACAACCACCCCAACAACCACCACAACCACTCCAACAACCACCACAACCACCCCAACAACCACCACAACCACCCCGACAACCACCACCACAACTACACCAACAACCACCACAACCACCCCAACAACCACCACAACCACTCCGACAACCACCACAACCACCCCAACAACCACCACAACCACTCCGACAACCACCACCACAACCACCCCAACAACCACAACAACCACCCCGACAACCACCACCACAACCACCCCGACAACCACCACAACCACCCCGACAACCACCACCACAACCACTACAGCCACTACCACCAAGACCACCAAACGCAAGTCAAAAAGTAGATGTAAGTAAAGATTAAACTTTACGTGTTAGTTGAATGATAAACTTAAATAGCCACTAACGTCATTTGATACGATATTACTTTCATAATTATATTTAGTCAGATTAAGCTATCTTTACTGTCACGCGTGTAACAATGAAGTAACTTTTACTGAATTTTTCCACAGCACGTAATGGCAGCAAATCTAAGTAAGTGACATTTTAAGTAATTAAATAATTACTTAAAATATGTAGGGCCTATATATATGTATATATATATATATATATATATATATATATATATATATATATATATATATATATATATATATATATATATATATATATATATATATATATGCCGCACCGGGTGACCCTCGACATAGCGACGCCACTGCCTTTACTAATTTTTCAGTACTTTAAAACTTTTATTAAATAGAGTACCATGACTAAAAACTATTTAGCACTAATTGAACATGATAATGTGCGTGTACATGTGCGAAATAGTAGTATTTCTGTCTACTAATTTCAGAAAATCTTAATTAATTTATAAAATAGCCATCCAATCAATTCAAATTTAAAGTGAGAAACGAATCTGTCAGCTAAAGGTGCTCAAAATTTCACTCGGCAGTTTTGATCTACGACGACAGATTGAGCAGGTTAAATAAAAACTTGTAATTATGCAAAATTTAGACGTTGATTTTTTCGCATATCTTGAGTTCGGTTCGCGGGCTAGGGTCCTTGAGCTAACGCAGCTCAAATGGGTACCTGGCTTTAGTACGGGAAAGTAAAGGCAGCTGGGCATATAACTGACCAAACTATCCCTTGATATGCCAAAATATGCGAAAATAGGACCACAATGTTTTAGCATATAATAGAATAAACATTGAGTAAATGGAATTGTTTTAAAAAGAAAACAGTATCAAAGCGATACAATTACGAAATGTGCATCCGTGCATGTAAAGCGTTTCCATATTGATGAAATATTGATAATATATTGATAAGATATTGATAATATGTTGATCACAATTTGATCATTTTTGGGGACGGCATGGTCGAATGGTAGAGCTAACAGCTACTAAGCCGAACGTCTCGAGTTGGGATCCTTAGCTTCAGCCTAACTCCCATGGGTACTTGACTCACGTTAGGGAAATATAGGCGGCTAGGCACAGTGCTGATTTATTTATACCCTCCCATGGCGAGGTTGTTGAAACAGATGAACTCTACTTCATCTGCCCCATTTGTCTTGAGCACAAAAGGGAAAAGATCATATTGATCCCATATTGATCCCATATTGATCCCATATTGATCCAATATTAATACCAATCTGTCTATTATTGATTACATGTTGATCACTTATTGATACTATTAAACACATATTGATCTCATATTAATCACAGATGTGGCTGATCTCACCAGAGTGAAGTTATCACTCCCTGACTAAATTCCTTTTCACCTCTCAAACCCTAAACATTTATCTTAATCTTAAATACATTTCACCTTAGCCATTCAATATTCTACGTTTTATTTAGTGTTTTAAAAAAAATATTGTTAATCTTCCTGTGTGTGTACTTGTGAGTATATGTGGGTGCTTTTGTTTATGTGTGTGTTCTTGTGTTTATTGCTTGTGTGTGTGTGTGTGTGTGTGTGTGTGTAAGTGGTGTTGTAAATTTTTCTGAGTGGTGTCTAAATTACAGCCTTCTCTTCACAGCTCCAGCGGAGGTCGCCGAGGGTTCTTCGGATTTGGTCGCAGGAGGTAGGGTCAACGTCTGTTTAATTAGTGCCGGAGGTAGGGTCAAAGTCTCTAATTAGTGCCGGAGGTAGGGTCAACGTCTGTTTAATTAGTGCAGGAGGTAGGGTCAAAGTCTCTAATTAAAGCCGGAGGTAGGGTCAACGTCTGTTTAATTAGTGCAGGAGGTAGGGTTAAAGTCTCAATTAGTGTTTTTGAAAACAAGGGCGCATACAACCTAGAAACGAATAAAATTACCCGCAAATCAGTTGATTTAATCTCTCACAAGTAATCTATTCATACTATGCTAACAAATTTTGGAAATTAAAACGAAAGGATAAAGCGCATGTACTTCATTAACATTAAATAGTTATACCAGTTGTATTACAATGCAAATTTGTTGTACCTTTTTAATTAACTGTTATGAATAATTTTTTCCACAGATGGTTTTAAAACCAAAGGAAATCCTGGCTGAAAAAAAAAGTTATTGTGACGTTTACCTGTCTTACTCACAGTCTGGGCATGGATTTACGACGCTCGTAAACTTTATAAAAAATATTTGACTTTAGTTGAATGTGTTCTTGTAAAAACATTTACTATTGTTGTGTTATTATTTATTTTTTATTAGTCATAATCAAGTAATTGATAAACTGAGTTTTTTTTTCCTAATTACTTCAGATGTGTATTCATATCTTTTTAATATAGAAACAATATTCTGTTTTAATTGTTACTTTTTTGGGATAATAAAATTTTACGATAAAAGTAAATCGTTTGTTGTCGTAACTATTATCATTTACATTTTTTTACTTTCTCGTATATACAGAGTATAGAGAAAGTATTGTAATCGTGCAAAAAAAAAAAAATTGAGATTTTTTGCAAATCTCGACGTTTTACACCTCACTGATACGGAAAAACATAATTTTGCAATCTTGTCCGTATGTCTCTCTGTGTGTGTGTGTGTGTGTGTGTGTGTGTGTGTGTGTGTGTGTGTGCATGTATGTCTGTCTGTAAACACGATAACCGGAGTACCGTTACAGCTAGGTTGATGAAATTTCATATATAAGTATTATATCAAATTTGTAGATCGGTATCAACTTTTCCAATAACCGGAAGTGGGACTTTTTTACTTTGAATTTTTCAAAAGCCTATAACTTGAGTAGCCTACTCTTTCAGATATTTACATGAAATTTCACATGTACGTAATTGATATAATTCTCTACCTTCATTCAAATTTTGAGTAATTTCCGTTGACCGGAAGTAGTAATTTACGCTATTTCCTATTTCTCAAAAAATGCATCTGAATTTATAAAGTACTAATAATATTCCGCACTATTATGCACATTTTGTTTGGCGTTCACTTGGTGTGCAATTCTTTTTTCTACGAGATTCTATTCTATTATAAAAAGTTTAAGTAGTTTAAAATGGATTAAAAATCATGTCCATATCCCGAGTTGCCATCCCCCGTAGTTTTTTATATGTATATATATATACAAAGTTTAAGGGAGATCACTCCCGGTTTATTTTGTATCGTAACTGTAGATTATACCTCTCTAAGAGTCAAAGCCTGGGACAGTTATTTCATCATAATGGTGGTATTGGGTAGGCCTACATCGACACACGTAGGCTGTGGTTGGACCTACAACCCAAAACCAGTCGTACCAAATGGCCTTAGAGATTATCGAATACATTCAACAATGCTACACTTGGCCGTAGAGAATATCGAATACATTCTACAATACTACACATTCTAATAAGATACGAGGTTTCCACTGGTGTCCTAGATTTCACCATACTCAAAATATTATCACTCTGGACTATATCGATCCACAAACAGAAACATTATATAGGGCACATACTGAGTTAGAGACCATTGTATCGTTTGATACTGGACTATATCGATCCACAAACAGAAACAATATATAGGGCGCATACTGAGTTAGAGACCATTGTATCTTTCGATACTGGACTATATCGATCCACAAACAGAAACATTATATAGGGCACATACTGAGTTAGAGACCATTGTATCGTTCGATACTGGACTATATCGATCCACAAACAGAAACATTATATAGGGCACATAGTGAGTTAGAGACCATTGTATCTTTCGATACTGGACTATATCGATCCACAAACAGAAACATTATATAGGGCACATACTGAGTTAGAGACCATTGTATCTTTCGATACTGGACTATATCGATCCACAAACAGAAACATTATATAGGGCACATACTGAGTTAGAGACCATTGTATCTTTCGATACTGGACTATATCGATCCACAAACAGAAACATTATATAGGGCACATACTGAGTTAGAGACCATTGTATCGTTCGATACTGGACTATATCGATCCACAAACAGAAACATTATATAGGGCACATAGTGAGTTAGAGACCATTGTATCTTTCGATACTGGACTATATCGATCCACAAACAGAAACATTATATAGGGCACATAGTGAGTTAGAGACCATTGTATCGTTCGATACTGGACTATATAGATCCACAAACAGAAACATTACACAGGGCACATAGTGAGTTAGAGACCATTGTATCGTTTGATACTGGACTATATCGATCCACAAACAGAAACATTATATAGGGCACATACTGAGTTAGGGACCATTGTATCGTTCGATACTGGACTGTATCGATCCACAAACAGAAACATTATATAGGGCACATACTGAGTTAGAGACCATTGTATCGTTCGATACTGGACTATATCGATCCACAAACAGAAACATTATATAGGGCACATACTGAGTTAGAGACCATTGTATCGTTTGATACTGGACTATATCGATTCACAAACAGAAACATTATATAGGGCACATACTGAGTTAGGGACCATTGTATTCATTTGATACTGGACTATATCGTTCCACCAACAGAAACATTATATAGGGCACATACTGAGTTAGAGACCATTGTATTCATTTGATACTGGACTATATCGATCCACAAACAGAAACATTATATAGGGCACATACTGAGTTAGAGACTATTATTCCGTTCGACGCGGAACTAATTTATTCATCCACTAATGTATATATTTCATGAATAAAGAATAGAGTTTAATCAAGATGATAACTTTAAAACACATTATTGTGGTACTCTCTGGTTTATCAATGTTCATACAATTGTTAACAACTGCTGTAGCATTCTGTGTAGCGTAGAGTTTGGTTCGCTAGACGAAGAGCTAAGATAATACAAATGATTTTCTTGTGATGGACAAGCAACCCTATCGTTAAATAAACCGGGAGTGATCTCCCCTAAACTTTCTCGAATATTCTAATATACAATTACGAGGGATGGCAACTCAGGACATAGACAATATTTGTTATCCATTTTTAATTACTTAAACTTTTCATAATAGAATAGAATCTCGTAAAAAAAAGAATTGCACACCAAGTGTAAAGTTTCCCTTTTAAACCTGAAAGTCTATGGGGCAAGTGAACTGGAGTTAACTTGTTTCTGTGACCTCGGCATATGAAGAGATAGTGTGGTCAGCACTATGCCCAGCCGCCTTAACTTTCCCTAACAGGAGTTAGGTACCCATCAGAGTTGGGTGGACTCAGGGACGGTCTTCTGACTTGAACCCGGATTCGAACTCGAGACTAACGGGCTAGCAGTCCAGCTCTCTACCGCTAGACCACTACGTCCCACACCAAGTGAACGCCTAATAAAATGTGTATAAAAGTGCGGGATATTATTAGTACTTTATAAATTTACATGCGTTTTTTGAGAAATCGGAAATAGCGTAAATTAGTACTTCCGGTCAAACTGAAATTACTCAAAATTTGACAGAAGGTAGAGAATTAGATCTTTTACATACGTGTGAAATTTCATGCATCTATCTAAAATAGTACGCAACTTATAGGCTTTTGAAAAATTCAAAGTAGAAAAAGTACAACTTCCGGTAATCGGAAATCGCTCAAACGTTTATCAGTGTCTACGATTTTGATAAAATACGTATATATGAAATTTCATCAACCTAGCTGTAACGGTACTCAAGTTATCGTGTTTACACACAGACACACAGACAGACGCACAGACATACGGACAGAATTGCAAAGTCCAGTTTTTACTACTCGATATCGCATAAAACGCCAAAACGTTTATATATTTGTATTTATAATTTTTGCCTGATTAAAATAAGTCCTCTATACTCCGGATGTGATGAAGGACTGAGGAGTAAAACGGTGAAAACTGTCAAAATTTCATGTTATTTTTGTGCACGATTACAATACTTTCTCTATACTTCGTATATACGAGAAAGTAAAAGCATAGACAAATGTTTTAGCTGAACTGAATTCTTTACAAAATTTGTGAACAATGATGTGTTTTATAAGCCCCTCTTTATCAGAGTAAAACACTGTTTAAAGAACTTTTACATATGGATCAAATTAGGCCCCTACACACAGATAACATTCGTAGATCATATCCAGTTACGCTGATATTGTATTTGCGTAACAAAATATACTAAAGTAACGATTTTTCATTTCAACAGCTGCGCGCAGAATTTATGTCAACAGCAAGTTTTTACGTCATGTAGTGCAGCTGCCAGCTGTTTCAAAACATCTCTAAATGTCGTTGTTGTTGTCATTTTCACAGAGCAGACTCAATAATAAAAGATTTTATTTAAACGTTTCTTTTACCACTGCGTGCCCGCTGGATTCAAGTTTTATGTAAATATTCGTGTTGGACACAAAGAGACGGCAATAAAAGAATACAAAAGGAAAACAAGAAAGTTTAGTCTTAAAGACGTTTTATTGTTAGTAAAACTCTCACAGCTGTGGAAGATAGAGAGCAGTACATGTTTAATTGATCTTTTAATTGATCTTTTAATTGATCTTTTAATTGATCTTTTAATTGATCTTTTAATTGATCTTTTAATTGATCTTTTAATTGATCTTTTAATTGATCTTTTAATTGATCTTTTAATTGATCTATTAATTGATCTTTTTATTCATCTTTTAATTCATCTTTTAAGTGAACTTTTAATTCATCTTTTAATTCATCTTTTAATTCATCTTTTAATTCATCTTTTAATTCATCTTTTAATTCATCTTTTTATTTATCTTTTAATTGATCTTTTAATTGATCTTTTTATTCATCTTTTAATTTATCTTTTAAGTGAACTTTTAATTCATCTTTTAATTCATCTTTTAATTCATCTTTTAATTCATCTTTTAATTCATCTTTTAATTCATCTTTTTATTTATCTTTTAATTCATCTTTTAATTCATCTTTTAATTCATCTTTTAATTCATCTTTTAATTCATCTTTTAATTCATCTTTTAATTCATCTTTTAATTCATCTTTTAATTCATCTTTTAATTCATCTTTTAATTCATCTTTTAATTCATCTTTTAATTCATCTTTTAATTCATCTTTTAATTCATCTTTTAATTCATCTTTTAATTCATCTTTTAATTCATCTTTTAATTGATCTTTAGTAGCCTGTAATTGTACAATAGATGCTTCGTATTTTTTTGTCCGCTTACTGGTACACTATGCAAGTAGGCCTACTGGTATACTAACTGAATTGGCCTACTGGTACACTATGCGAGTAGGCCTACTGGTATACTAACTGAATTGGCCTACTGGTATACTAACTGAATTGGCCTACTGGTATACTAACTGAATTGGCCTACTGGTATACTAACTGAATTGGCCTACTGGTATACTAAGTGAATTGGCCTACTGGTATACTAACTGAATTGGCCTACTGGTATACTAAGTGAATTGGC